CATTTTTATTTGTATTTGTGGCTTCTGCTGGTGTGTTTTTGCATTGTTTTGTTGTGTGACCTTTGCGTTTGCATAGGAAACAGTGAATCGAGTCGTCGCCCAAGAATATTCTGTGAGATGTATTTTCGATTTTGATCAGTATGGATTTTGGTAGTTTTTCGAAGTCATCGGGTTTGATGTAAACTTGGCGTCTGAAGCTTATGATATGAGCTAGTTCTGGGATGTTGAATCCCGCATTGATATGTGTAATTGGTGATAATATTTGGATTTTATGTGGGTTCTAAGTGTGATATAATTTATTCGTTTGATATATCGGGTGAGACATGAGATATGATTATTCTTTTAGCCAGATTTATTAACCGTCTAATTTTGATCGTCGTATGTGAGTTTATTATGATGTTGGGATGGTTATCTACAAGAAAATCAACCTTGTTTTTGTCATTGAGATATATACAGAATTGGTTGTTGGTTATCCGCAAAGCAAATTTTATGTTTTTTGGTGGAGTTAATTTGCTAATTGCAATTATGTATTCAATGTTTATGTTGTCGATTGAATCAAAGACTATTGCGTGTACTTTTTGGGTAGTCGTAGAGTCGATAGTGGTTTCGGCGAAAGATTTTTTTCCAACAGCGTATTTTTCTGGTTCATTGTTGGTGTTTTGATGCGACGAGGAATTGATATTATGCATTCTCTGTATATGGTTGGTCTTGTTGATGGAATCGTGATTAGAAATATTTATATCGGTGGTTTTAATTGCGTCACTGTTGTAGCCACTATCGGAGTGTTGAGATGATGTAGGCTCATTAGTCAGGTTATCTGCTATGACAACGGAGGGCCCGGTTTTAGATATTGTTGGGACATTTTGTTTGTTAGTTGGAACTTTAGATGAGGCAATACGTTTTTCAATAAGCCTATTAGTTTTGGTATGTGGTTCACCCATTTTTTTGGGTGTTTTATTAATTTATAATGTTAAAATGTGAAAATGGATCAACGGTTAAATATTTATTCATATTACCTGTACACACGTAGAACTTCAGTACGCTTACGAGAGGTATAAATGCGAGAGCGCGATAACAATAAGCCCGTGTTGTTCGGTCGGGTGTGCACACGTAACTGGGGTAGGTTATTATTATTACTTTATTGAGCAAAACTTTATTTTATTTAGATGAATATAGTAATAAATATTATACATTAATTAGGTATAAACTTTTTACAATTTAAACATTTATTTTATGGAAAAACAATATTTTCAATCATCATAGAACATTGACAACAATTATTTACTTACTTTTGACCTTTTTCTTTCCAAGACCTGAACAATTTATACAAGTAATAAAACATAAATACAATATAATATTTTAAATATTTTATGGTCTATCTATAATTGTCCTTATAAAATTACGTATTTAAAATAATTATTTGATTTCGATTAGCGCTGATGCAAAAAAATCTAAATGTATGACATATATATAAACCTATGATTTAATATTTAAATACAATATTATAAAAACGAATGTTAACTAACGTAAACGTCCAGCTACCTCTTCCCAACCTTCTGCATCGGTATATGACTCTAAATTATAATTAGTACATTTATTATTGTTTAAGATTAAGTATAAATCACACATCACACGATAAAATCTATCAGCCGAAATCTGCATGACGTGTATCGTTGGCTTTTTTATTATTCAATGTATCGTATTTATATTTATAAGAATATTATAACACCATTAGGTATAAATAGTGAGTGACATTCTATCAAAAATTGTTTTGATATCCAAAGATTTAAAATATTAAATACTTGCCTTGAGTTAATTTTTTCATTAAACCTTTTGCAACCATTTGGTCTGTAATGATATTTTAAATAACAACGAATATAATTTATAATATTTACCTATCGTAAAATATAATAATTATACTTACTGACACAATCTTCTAGACCTTGATTCAAAATAATATTAATGATCATTAAAAAAAATATGTTACGTTTCAACAATTATGATGTTTTGAAATGGTTGGCTTTAAGGAGGACTTAGTACGTAAAGCCCAATTTCAAACGTAATATAACACAGATACTTAAGTTTGTGTTCAGCAAAATCAATATTAAGATGTTAGATTTAATATAAGATTGAATTGATCTGAGTTATTTAATTTAAATACAACACTAATATCTTAAGGTTTTGGCTGTTTTACCTATAAGCTAACAAAATTATTAAAAATCATGAGATAAAAGAAAATAAAATGTTAAAAAGTCAAAATGTTCACAAAAATAATTATCTTCAATTGTATCAATAATGAAAATATAAAAAAATTACTTTTTAAACTTTTTTACCAAAAAATAAAATAAAATGTGTAATCCTCGCTGTGAGTCAAATAAAAAAAAAAAAACAGTTTTATGATATATTTATTGTCTCAGGAGATATCGCAATGGATAAATCTTCTCGGGATACTCTGTATTTTTATCTGAAATAATTATAATGGTTACTAAAATAGTTTTATTTTTCAAAAGATGAGTGTTGGAGCCGATAACTAATTTACACCTACCGACACAAACAGACGCGCTCTATCTCATGTATAACTCAATTAAATAGTTGTTATGTATGTTTGTATAATCTTATTCTATTAAATTATTTTACTTTTATTTTTTAACAGTCATTTTATGAATTTCTGTAACAATTATGTATTTTCTTCCTATTTTTCTCCATTAACATTAATCTGTGATCTATCGTATGAATAAAAAATAAAATAAAAATGTAAGTACTCACCTCCAGCCCATATTATATTACTAATACAACTAAGTATAAAAATAACAGTTAACATATTAATATTTTTGACCATTTCTGTATCAATAATATTAACAGCGTTGAATACAATTGAAAGAATAAAGTAAAATGTTGTCTAGTTATAGTATTTAAAAGGTTATTGAGCAAATACAAAATAAAACAAGTGTTTCTAGAAACAATTAAATGAACTTCCAACTCTAGAAAATGGTAGTGAATAATGTTTGATTTTTGTGTTAGCATATTATGTTCAATATTCACTAAATTAATACATTTTAGTTTTTTAATTTGGAACAAAATTGCTATTGATAATTCATCTTTAGACACTACCAACTTAACAAATAACTGGTTACAGCACATGAAAAAATTTTTTAAAATCTCGAAAATGCAATAGATAATATTTTAAGTTCTGAGCGGAGCGATTAATGTATTCGTTTTAGAATGATGCGAGTGTTTTTTTTGTGTGTGTCTGCTATCATATTTTGGGACAGTAAATATGCATATAATTTGTACATACTGTATTTGGTATAAATATTTATTGTATAAGGCCAAAATCTCACACACCTAAAACGAATTATTTTTTTTTTTAATGTAAGACCTGATTGTAACCCATTGTGGCATAGATATTGCAATATATATTATTGAAAAAATCACGAAATAGCCCCAGATAATATTTTAAGTTCTGAGAAGATCGATTAATGTATTGATTTTGTTAAAATTCTTTCTTTTGATAGAAAAAAAATAAAATGTCTACATTAAAAATGCTATAACTTTTAAATCAAACTATTTCCAAGCACTTGCAAAAAATAAGGTGGATAAAGATTAAAAATCTTCCTTGAAAATGTAATGTGTATATTATTATAGTTACACCAAAAAATCAAAAACCAACAAAATCGGTTTATTCAAAATCGGTTGTAACAGTTATGTATAATATTCAATAATAATCAATTATTTTCCGGGTTTTTATGTGCGTTCAAATATTTTAACATGTGGTTAAAACTACAAAAGAAAAATGTAACTATTATTTACTTACGTAAATACGTAATATTATGTTACCGTGCAAAATGTGTTAAATTTGTACCACAACGAATCACTATTGGTGGGGCTCCGATAAGGTAGGTATTCTAGTCAACTTTATAAAAAGAACCTTGAAAAACAAAAAAAAAAAAATAAGGAAAGACGGGAGTTTTTACTCAAAATTGATTAACGATAAAAATATGGATTTTAGTTTTAGTGTTACCCAGTAACTCTAATAAAAATAACAGTTTAGAATATTGACAATATTTGTAGAAATCACGAAAATGTGCAGATATTTTAAGTTATAGCTTCATAAAAAATGTTCTGTTTATATTTAAGGTTTGAAATTTGAATACAATTAAAATAAATCAACACTCTTATACATTTAAATGAGTGTACCTCGAGAGATATTTTGAGTTTAATTCACTCTAATATTAAAAATATCAGTGTAAATCGAATTCTGCTTCATGTATAATTTGCTATGTTATGCATAAAGAGAAGAAAACTACACTCAAAGCTTTAAACCAGCTCCTTTAATACTCCTTTAATACTCGTTGTATTTGAGATCAATAAAAATAACTTTATTATTATAGCTTAGTATTACAAGTTACAACATGTACCTAATGAACATAGGTTATGTTAGGTATATTTACACGGCTGATGCCAAAAGTCGGAGGTCCGTCTGCAGAAAAAATAAAGTCACTATCCACAGTGGTCCACTCTCGGCTGCTGTATGCCCCGCTTATTTGGCACGGCTCGCTTCGTAATGAGAAATACAAGGCCAAACTGTCCTCCCCGCAGAGGAAGATGGCCCTACGTGAAGCTTGCGCCTACTGCACGGTGTATAACAATTCCATAATTATGATGACTGGCGCACAGTGCCGATTCACCTGCTGGCTGTCAAAAGGGCGGAGATCGAGGCAGCTGTGAAAATTGGTGCAACACCAGAAAACACTAAACAGGAGTCTGATGATGATTCCGGACGATGAACAATTGGCAACACGAATAGGTCGTAGTGGGCAATGGACGTAGGACGTATCGGTTGGTACCTAACATTCAAGCCTGGATTGACAGAAAACGGGGATCCATAAACTACCACGTGACGCAATTTCTAACGGGGCACTTTTGCTTTAATGCATACCTTCACAAGTATAAGAAACGTGACGATGCAGTGTGCATGTATTGCGGTCACCCACAGGACGATGTGGAACACGGAACACACCTTCATAGACTGCGACGGGTGGTGGAGACAGAGACTTGAGCTCGAAGTGGAACTTGGCCGTGCCATCACCCCGAAGAGAATGCTAGAAGGGATGATAAAGAAGAGGAAAAAGTGGAACGCTGTTGCCAACTTCATAACGGCAGTGCTTTCAAGGAAGGAAGCTGATGAACGGGCAATACAGGCTGCTGAAAGAAATGTTGTAATATAGTTAAGTGAACTTAAATGTGGCTCGAAGAGCAAATTGTGGGGATAGATCCCCGGCTATACTGTAACTGTACATATATTTTAGTTGTAAGAGACAGCGAGAGGGAGTTGGCCCTCAGTTGCTCTATTAAAGTTTTATTAAATTTAATTTAGCCTATATTGCTTTGTTTGGCACTACAGATATTTGATAACCTCCTATGTAATTCCCACGGACCACGTTCAAATCCAAAATAGAACTTTATTCATATTTATTACATAATACAAACCTACTTGCATGTGCTACGTACGAACCCCTCTACTCCTCGCCTACACATAGTTATAATACAGAATATCCGGCCAAGATATCATACCGGACATATATTTTAGTTGTAAGAGACAGCGAGAGGGAGTTGGCCCTCAGTTGCTCTATTAAAGTTGTGTGTTTAATTAATAAACGATGGTTTTCAGGGGCAAGTATAATGTGTCGCGCAAGGAAACAGTTCGCCGCCGCCGCTTAAATACAAAATAAAACAAGTGTTTCTATAAACAATGGATGGAGCTTCCTACTCTAGAAAATGGTAGTGATAATGTTTGATTTTTGTGTAAGCATATTATGTTTAATATTCGCTAAATAAATACATTTTATTTTTTTAATTTGGAACAAAAATGCTTGGGATAATTCATTTTTAGACACTACCCACTTAACAAATAACTAGTTACAACATATGGCAAAATTTTTGAAAATCTCAAAAATGCCCTAGATAATATTTTAAGTTCTGAGGGGAGCAATTAATGTACTAAGAATGATGTGAGTGTTTTTTTTTTGTGTGTCTGCCATCATCTTTTGGGACAGTAAATATGCATATATTTTCTACATCCTGTATGTGGTATAAATATTTATTGAATAAGGCCAAAATCTCACAAATATAAAACGATGCAGGGCTTGAAACCGCTCCTGAAGAAACAGAAAAATTTTTTGGAACCGGTTACCGGTTATCGAGGTTTTTAGAAATAATGATAATCATTTCCCGCTTACCGAAATAAATTTTATAAATGGGATTACCGGTTATCAATTTGGAAGCGGTTTTAAATCTTCAAAATTACCGGTTACCTCACAAACCATTTTTTTTTTTTTTTTTTTTTTTTTTTTTAATACCTACTCTATTTTTTTTTAACAAACTTAACATGTTTAGTATAGTACTACACAGTTTTGTTCAGTATTACTATTATTACGAACTAATGTAACGAACTTATTATTAAATAATGAATATCAAAACAGTCCCTGATTATAAGTTATAAGTTATAACTTATAACGTACCTTTTACCTAGTACTTGGTACAATATCGTACATGCAAGAGTTATATACTATTATATATATATGTATCAGCCCGCATTCGTCGATGTTTCTACCATTCGTATCAGTATTCAGTACCTATATTATTATAGGTACTGACTACTGAGAATCTTTTGTAAGTGCGCCGATACGATTCCGCAATCAAACACGCTTGTTTTGGTATTTTTAAATTTTAATACTTAGTAGTTCTAAAATAATCTATTTTAGTATTTTATAAATATTATTTTCTTCTATTTAGAATATTCAATATAATTAAAAAAAATTATTTTTACGTTAATTGGTTTGAGATTTACGGTTTTGTATACTTCCGATTAATTAACCGGTTCCAAAAATAAACGGTTACCGTTATAGATTTCCCCCTTTATCAAATTCCGTGATTACCGGTAATTGATAACCGATTCTCAAAATTGAAACTCGATAACCGGAAAGCGGATACCAATCCAAAAAGTACTCATGGTAACCGGTTACCGGGAAAAATCGATTACCGGTTTCAAGCCCTGATATTATGTAACAAATGTCAACTTTTGCGGTCAATGAAATGTTAGCTATTTAATACATAAATAATTATGTATATGTAAATACAATTTGTCGATTACATTAATAATTCTTATATTGACCATACCATTGATTAAATATACATAGATAGCCCATAGCTATAAATTTTGATAGAAAGAAACTGCGATAAGGAAACATCAAACAATAGTACAAATACCTATATTTTAATTTTTTTTAATCTCGTATTATATGGTTATTGACAAATACAATTTATTCAATCTTAATATCTTAATTCTTAATAATATTATAAAATATCCAACAAGACGGTTTACTGCTTCTGCGTTCTGCTCAGCCAAAGTGTGAACATATTGGATATTAATTAAAAAGTAAATTTTACTTTGATGTCGTAATTTATAAAAAAACTGGTTGTAACTTTTGTTACCAACAATTAATTTATAACTAGTACTAAAAAATGATAAAAAAATATCTTAAGAGGACGTCGCACCCACTAGAGCTCTGCATGGTCCATATTTTTTTGGACCAGACCGGACTAGTTAATTTAATTAAGACCAAGACTGGACTGGACTATCATTAAAATAATTTAACTGGACCGAGACTAGACTGATTTATTTTAGGCAGTTGAAAAAGACTGGGACCGGACCGTTTTATTTTTAAATTTTTAAAAAAGACTGAGACTGGACTGTTAAATATTTTTATCAGGACCAAAATTACATTAATTAAATTTGAAAAAAATTTCATTGTAGAATCAAGATCGATTGGTGCTGACCGATTTTACTTTTACTTCTTAGAACAATACCGAGACTGGTTTAGATTGAAACATTTGATAAAGACTAATGCCGGGTTGCACGAAAAATGTAGTAATTTAATGGTTTAATAAAATGTCATGTTAAAGGGATCAGCTCACTATTGATTCCTAAAATGTTTAGTGACTGTTCATGAACCTCGATATGAGAATATTAACATTAATAAAGACATTATAATTCAAATAAAAACTATGTTTAGTTTTAACAAAATATGAATTGAGGAAATTATCGGGTTACCTCATTTCTAAAAAGATTTTTTTGGTAGGTTAGGTTAGGTTATAAATGTATGTATGTAGGTATAATGTAGGTATATACTGTATACATTAAACACCATAAATACCTACGTATGTTAACGGTTGGTCAAACTACAAATGAAAAGTGTAACAAAAACGTCTTACAGGTGGCCATGAAAAACAGTTAAAATATGTGCACAGGAATGAATCACTTTGTGGGGCACTTATAAGGTTCTGTCGGTTCTGATAACGATATAATGTCGGTGGAAATTTATACGATTTTAGTGTACCTACTTATTCATTTATTTTAATTATATTTATAATTATAACTAATTAATAAGTTTTCTTTAGGTATTGTAAAATATTTTGAACGAAATGGTCAACCTAAAATGTATATAGGGTTCGATTGGTCTATCGACCCTAAAATGTTTAGACTGTATTACTGTGTTATTGTTAAAATAATATTAAGAGCAGGAAATTACAGCCGCATATTATGTTGTCTTTGTTCTACAAAAGTAGAAAATAATATTAGAAAATAAAATGTTGTGACTGTCGTCATATTTTGAGGCAGTTATAATGCTATTACTTTCGATTTTAATATCTTTTCTGGTAATAAAGTGAAACTAGGTAGTTGGTCATTTGGCCGATCATAAACAAAAGTTACTCACATGTTAAACGTATATTATATTAAAATATAAATAAGAGAATTCCCAAATCAAAAATGTGTTGGAAAATTGTTATTAATTATTATAATATTATATTGGGTGGGACTGTCCGGTCTATCACGCAGCGATCATTTCCTGAGTTTACACTTTACAGTTTACAGCTTACACTGTTAAAGTCCTCTTCCCCTACATCTAACTTAGGCTTCCACTTCAGGACTACTCTGTTTTTATCGTCCTCACTAAGCCAATACATGTAGCCTAGCCATTGGATCCTCTGTCCACTGATGAAACTTACTACTGATGCCATTTCCATTTCTTCCTGCAATTCTTTATTATACTTTCTCCTCCTCGTTAAATTTTCATTATCATACAAAATGCACGATGCCATAATATATTAGTATATTATAATATTATATTATGTCTGTGAAATTCCGTTTTGCCCTCGACGTATTTAATTTGCGGTCGGCGTTGGTGCAAAAGTTTCGACGGTCCGAACTCTGCGATTCACGCCGGTACCTACAATGTTGTATGGTATACATAAATATTTGCCTTTGAGTGTGTGTTAACGAGTTACTGAAATATTACATAGGTGTACACATCAGGCTCTATTTTTATGTGCACCACGACACACAATGTGCACTACGAATATACAAGTGTGCACTACGATTTGAACGTGTGTGCACTACGGTCTACAAAACAAAAAAAGCCAAGTCAGGGATCGGCATGTAAACTTTCTTGATTTTGAATTTTTAGAAATTTTTTAACTGATTTAATCACACCCAAGTGGTCAAACAATATGAAACCAGAAAAATGTCGGCGTGAACAGCCCCACAAAAAATCATTTTCATTTTCATTTAGTGAGATAGATCTCCGAAACCGGACAGCGGATTTCGTTGATTTTGGTCTTGTTAGATTCACATTGGTTAGGAGAAGTGCAGTGAAGATTTGCAGAACTTTATCTTTAATAGTTAATTCACTACAAAACATTAAAATAAATTAAAACAAATTTTATTGGGCGTTTTTTGATGTTTTTCATCTTTACAGCTTTGTAATGAATTAACGATTTTAGATAAAGTTCTGAAAATCTTCACTGCAATTCTCCTAGCAAATGTGAATTTAACAAAACCCCAAACAACAAAATCCGTTCTCCAGTTTCGGAGATCTACATCTCTAAATGAAAATCTAGAGAAAATAACTTTTTTTTTTTATCTGTGAAAAATTAAATAATTAAAAAAAAAAAATTAATTCCACATTTAGTGTCTACCTGATAATCCCTTTTTAATGAGTTATCAACCAAATTTCTAGCTAGGTATCATAGTTTAGGATAAAAGTTAAAAAATAGAAATTTTGGGACTGTTCACGCGAATGTTTTTATCGATTCAAATTGGGTATACCGCTTGGGTGTGATATAAAATCTCTCTTATTAATATTTTATATTAAAGCTAGCTAAATTA